GATGACCTCATATGAACGCTCAAATCAGACTTTAGCGCTTTCACTGACCGTAATCCGATTACGGCTTAAAAGTGATGACTGTTTTGATTATTTTAAAACCTTCCCCCTTATCCAGGGAAGCAGAGCTTTTGCTGAGCGTGCATGGTGGTGTTAAGCCATGCGCTACTGTCTATTCACAGTTACACGTTTTCACACCACAGAGATGCCAAGTAGAAGCAGGGTCTTCTACCTCTGGCGACTGAGCAGCTTCATTGGAGTAGCTGGGGGTTAAGCGCCTGACTTGTTCAGCTGGCAAAGATGTTGAATAATAAGGAGGTTTATTCACTCATTCGCTTTGGCTGCCCCGAGTGGTCCAACTGGTCTTTTTAAAAGTTATTTTTGATCCAGAATAGAGCTGCAACTGACTATTTCTTTCGTTATTAGTAACTCTTGTGTGTTAAAATGTCCATCACCGTTTACCTGAGCCCAAAGTGACACCTGTAGGTTACTTGTTTGATCCGACACAAACTGTCCGAAACCCAAAGATGAAGAGATGATGATGAAGCAGTAATTGTCACAATTTAAAAGGTCTTCAGTTTGTTTACTTTGTTTCACAACAACAGAGAAGAGCTGCAAATACTAACTTTTGAGAAGCAGAATCCAGCTAATGATTTTTACTTGATAAATGTCTTCATGATGAATTGATTAAATTGTTGTGGATAAAATGGTGAGGACTCAGCAAAGACTGCAAAAAGTTTTACTACAATAAATATTTTATTAGAATTTACTGCATGAGGATAATTTCTAAATTAGAAAAACGATCATTTGTATGGATCATTTCCTTGGCTCAGGTGACTGTTATGAATTGAAGTCGTCTGAACTGCTTTACTTTTAATTTTGTCTCACAAGATGTCCCACAGTTGAATCTGCATTAAAAACACATGAAGCTATCTCCTCCCGCTGGCAGATTAATTTCTTTGATTATAAAAACAACATTTTACAGCTACATTATTAGACTAAATGATTTTGGTTCCATCCACTAATCAATTAATTGACTATTGTTTCAGCTCTAATCCAGAACATACGGTCACAACCAAGATTCTCCGGCCTTAAACGTTCAAACACGCTGGACGCAGTAATTGCTGCATCCAGTTGTTTGATTCTCCTAATATGATTATTTTATGACAGATTGTACGCTTGAGGGTTGACCCATCAGCAGCACCAGCACCTCGTCTGCATAGCATAACCACCCTGAGGGAAGTAAGTCTCAAGGATATGCCAATTGCCCACCTTTTTATTCGAGGAATAAGAGTTTTAATAAAAAAGTGCGGGCATACCATTAAATTTTTAGCAGGTGCTGGAGTATACTCAAGCTTAAATATTAAAGAAGGAGAATGCCGCATACTTACACTAATTAAATATTGATATTTATTTTTAATGATTCATTGGTCATTAAGAGCTTAACTTTAATGATATGATATGTTTTTGTCATGATTTGGCATTAAGTGAACTCTTGCAATGAATCACATGATAACGATATCATAAATTGATACAATAATTTGACCAGTGTGTAGGATTTAGTGTCATTTAGATGCTATGAAGTGTTTGTGTCCACCTGATGAATTTATTTCCAGTAATTAGTTTCTTTCAGCTGTATTTTAGTCCCCCCCCCCGACTCCTGTGGAAAATATCTGTGTCGTAAGCTTATAAATGCTCCTTTGTGTGTGTCCACCAGCTAGTCGCTAACCGTGTCTGTTTGCCATTTGGAGTTGGACAGGCAATGAACAGCTGTCTGCTGCAGCTGGAAATAATTCTATGAGAGCTGTGAGTGAAGCTAAACAGTATGGCTGTGGGCATGAAAATGAAAACAATGAGCTGAAAGACACTGAAAAGCTCTGTAGTGCTACCGGGAACTTAACTGTAGAGTCAGGTGGTAATTCATTGTTGCTTAATTACTATGAATCACCTCTTTCATGTAGTCCTGTGAGACACTGTTAATATAAAAATTATTATTATAAGATATTATTATAGCTGCATTTATTGTAGTTAAAGGGTCGGTTAACCCAAATCACATACTGTATTCTTACTTACATCCAGTGGTAACTACTGTAGCCATGCAGATAGTTTTCATTGTATTTGCCCAGGATTGGAGATACCTCCACATTTTGGTGGGTTTTTTAAAAAAGATTATTTTTGAAGTTTTTTATTGCCTTTATTGGATAGTAGCAGCCAAAGAGTGACAGGAGAGAGGGTGGAGAGTGAACAAGCAGCAAAGAGCCGCAGATTGGAATCAAACCCATGCTGCTGCAATATGGACTCTGCCTTTTTGTACATGGGGCCCTGCCAGATGAGCTACCAAAGCACCCCAGTGCTCACAGTATTGAAAAACTACATTAAAAAAAACATTCAGTAGCAAACTCTGGTTTCAGAAACAACATCTTTGTTATTCTAGGTAATCAAAACACACATTTTTCAGTTTTTATTAAAAGTTGAAAAATTCTTAAAAATTCCTTGTATGAAAAACTGTCCACGGCCTGTTCTGTGGATTATGCAGAGTAATGAGGACCAAATGAGGACCAAAATAATAAAATAAATCATAAATTGTAATTTGGGTATACGGACCCTTTAAGAGGTAGAATCTGTTATCTTGTATGTAATCCAGTTTAACACAACCTGTTACTACTTTCCGGTCCGATTTGCTTGTTGCTCCCCTTGCAGCAGCTGACATGCAAATCTACCCTGATTATCTAATAATGAACTGAGGAAATGTGAATTATGAGTAAATGTGCATCACTGCTGTCTGGGGAAAAACTGCTTAAACTGACTGCATCTTATTTTTTCCTTAATGAATGTGTTGAGTCAGTTCCGTGACCCCTTGGGCCTGAAAAACTTATTAAAACTCAGTTGTATGATTTTGAAAATACTGTACACGGGAGTCAGTGAGTAAACAAACAGAATTTCTTCATTCCCAGGTCTGGTTTTGGAGATCCGTGGTCTTTAATAAAGGCTATATACTGTCTGTATTTGTGTGTACTTAGAGAGAGCGAGAGAGAGGGCATAGTGAGACAGAGAGTGACAGAAAGACTCCTCTGAGTGGCGTAGGATTATTGAAATGCACCTGGAAAGTAAACTAATTTTCTCTGCGGGTCAGAGGACTGGTTATGGTAATAAAAAGAGAGATGTCATTAGATTCAGTGGTATTTGAAGAGTTCTCTGGAGGAAAGAATGAGGAGGGGTCTGTGAGTTTGAGAGCAAAAAGTGAGTGAGAAAGAGGAAGAAATGTGTGTACAAGTGTGTGTGTTTTCCAAGCTGCTCCCCTGCCACTATCTCTGTCTCCTCTGTGTATATGTTATTCATGAGCTTGACCTACATGTGCCCATGCTTGTGTGTGCAGGCGTGCATGTGTGTGTCAGTCCATGCAGGAGAAAGTGATAAGGTTCCGGTCCACTTTCCAAGATTCACCAACCACTTTCACGGTCTGACCACCCAGTTTGATATTTTCTCTTACAATAGAGTACGATCTGCGGATGACAGTCTCCACTGTGTTTATGCTTTCGTACTTTGTCTTACTCCGGTGCTGCTGCTGCAGCTCAGACGCTCTCGCACCTGCCCAGTCCTTCTCCTTCCTCTTTTCACTCTGCAGAATACCAGAAATGTGAAGTAAAAGAAAGAAAGGGAAACAGCAACAAATGTAAAAGTGTCTATGAATATCTGTGCATATTTTGACTCAAAACTTAAACCATGAAAGCAGTTTTGTCACTCGATATAACTAAGTATGGCTGCAACAGATTGCCGTTAAGATGCTGTAGATTCTCTTTATTTGCCAAAATAAAGCTCTGTTCTTGGGTATAGTCGCCTCTGCGTCCTCAGTGATGGATTACATCATGTGAAATGCAAGCTGTCTCCTAAGCAACAGCGAGCAAGCGAGTCCACAGAAAGCTGGTCTTAGCAACATTAGATCTTTAGCCTCTCTCGTCCCTTTGGTGTCCTTCAGCATAAGACATCACAGACAAGCCTGGTTAGTAAACATGACCGTGCTGCATGCAGTTTACTGATGTTGTATTACAGGGGTTGAAGGAAACTGAAATTTCCACTTCCTTTATTCCTCATGAATAAGGATGTTGTGGCAGGATTAAAGTCTGACACTATCTGGAGTTCTTGTTTATGCCTTTTTAGAAGTAAGTTAATTCAAGTGAATTCGACCACAATCACAGCGCTTTGGAAAATGAAAACAAATTTAGGGATGCCACTAATGGTTATTTTCATCATTGATTCATCTGAAGATTAGGTTTTTGATTAATAGATTGGTTTAAAATGTCAGAAAATAGAGCAGAATGCCCATCACAATTTCCCAGAGATTAAGATGGTGTGTTCAGATTACTTCTTATTGCCAGTCCAAAACTGGAAGATGTTCAATGTACAGCAAAACAAAATGAGAAATGTGACAAAACCTTACACTGGAGAAAATGGAACCAGCGCATGTTTGGCAGTTAAGCTTGATTAATGACTTTAAACATGACTCAATTATTAAAATTGTTGTTGATTAATCTTCTGTTGATCCACTAATTGATTTATCATTAAACACTAAACAAATGTTAGAGACCCATGTTACTGCTGTTAGTGCTAGTTACCTCGAGGATAGACCTGCAGGGTTCACATTTTATTTGATAAAACATTTGTATACATCATCGAATGAGTCAGCTTTCGTGCGGAATGTGTGAAAGTACATGTTGACTTACAGTATATGTGGCATATAGTGATAGATAGCAGAACGAAACACCCAGAGGCACAAGGTAACTGCACAGAAGAGGCATTTTTCATTCAATAGGAATAAATGGGGGTCATTGCATTCTATACAGTTCTACAGCATGACCGTCGCATCCTAATTACAGTAAAAAAAAATCATGTGTGTTGTGTATTTCTGTATCTGTGTTGTACTTGTGTTGCACTAGTCCCTGGTTAAGATGCAGAGACCTTTCTCTTGACTTGTCTCATCCCCTTCCTGTCCCTCTTCACCTCAGGACGTCCAAACGTGGTGGAGTCCGTTCCAGACGATCCCACATACAACGTGAGCAGCGAGCTCACTCTGGAGGTGAGCCGCAGCGACGACAAAGCCCTCATCACCTGCGCTGTCGACCATCCCTCTCTCGCCCCGGGGGACAAGAGGAGTGAGCAGGCTCTGCGGGTGTTGTGTGAGTCAACTTGGAAATGGGGAGTGGGGAGGAAAGGGGACACAGAGGATGCTGGGGGAAGAGAGGGAAAGTAGAGGACAGACGGATGTGCGAGGGGAAGTGAAACCTCAAACTGCTGTTTTTTATTTCTGCCTTGCTCGTCTCTTTAATTAGGCAGTACAGGCACATTTCCTCCCTTTGCAGTTTGATCTTTGCTCCAGTAATTTCAGATTAGCTACCTGTAATAATGACCACACAGGAATTTAACCTTCCTCTGCTGGTGCACTTGCCCAGAGTTGAGTCACCGTGGATAAGAAGAGCAGGGTATCATCTGAAATGAAACTATAAATGGAGCGGCATCGGAGTCTGTGTTGGTGCTGCCACCCTGTGGATGATACGGCAGTACTGCATCGCCGATGGAAAGTGATGTCGTTGTGTAAGGAGGTTATGTCATCGTGGGAGGCAGAGAGATGGTGACGCCTACAGGATGCAGATGGGAGTAGATGGAGATGGGGATGAATGAGACGGTGCTGTGTCCATGTCTATACGTTTATGACTCTTGTGTTATGTAACTATCCTCTGTGTGTGTTTGTGTGTGTGTTTGCCCTCCACTTACAGATTCCCCAGATGTGGAGATCGTGCCCGAGAGCGATCTGCCTAGAGAGGGGGAGAAGTTTCATCTTAAGTGTTTGGGCAACGGCAACCCCGAGTAAGACACACACATATATCTACACATCTGTATGCATGTACACGCACACACACACACACACACACACACACACACACACACACACACACAAGAACACACACGCTGATTTATATATATATAAATAATTTATATACAGCAGATTACTTTTCTGCACATGTACAAATTACAACAATTAATGCTTAGTTTATTGACTTCAAGATAACATTTATAAAAAATATCAAATACAACTTTAAGTAATTAAAGAAAAACTTCCAAACAATATCCTTTATGCAATATAATTTTGTCAGCACATAAGTAAAATAAAACTGAACAACATGGTCTAACATTTCCAGGCAGTTTGTAACATAACTATGTCTGTGCCAACAGCTAAATCAAGATCATTTGAATAATGCTAACATTTTGCACGATGCTCGTAACTTAGAGGACTTAATAATACATGTGGTACATGCTGTATGCCAGAGCCACACCAGCACAGGAGGCAGATGAGAGGCAGAACCTTGCAAAAGCAATTCTCAAATGAGCTTCAGTAGGGGGTTTATTGTTTGTTTACTGCAGATGGACCAACAAATCCACATAGCTTAACTACAAAATGTGTCTATCAGTGCCATCTAAAACAACTCGTATGACTGTTTTTTCTACCTAACTGGTTGAGGTTAGGAAAAGATTGTGGTCATGGTTACAAGAAACCAACATTGACGGTTCCTCTGTGTTTAGTGTCAAAGTCAAACACTTTTTGAGATTCTACAATATCATGTTACTTCCAGCTTTGCTTATTTGCAGAACCACAACAGATCTCTGATAATGTAACATATTTTTGAGTAAACCTATGACTGATTTTTCTGGTGATGACAGTTTCGGATGGACAGTTAATTCAGGTTTTATGTACTATCTTTCTGACCTTGCTCGTAGCCTTTTTATTATCTCTTCTCAGCCAGTACTTATGTAATCTCTCACCTTGAGCTTCAGGTGCGAGTTCTTAAAGTCCCCCTCCACTCAAAATTATGTTTTCCTTCTTGTTCCTACAGTTGGATGTTTGAGCTCCACTGTGCAGAATGATGTCTGTGCAGAGTTTGACTAGAAGGATGTTTTCACATTCATCAGCTGAAAGTGGAAAGTTTCTCTGTGCTCATTGAAAATCTGATTTTAAGGGGTGGGGCGGTGATTTGTGACTTCACAAATAGTCAATCCAATATGCAACTTACATAAGTGTTATGTAGAAACTTGAAGCCTCATACAGAATGGATGTTAGTGAAGCAGGAGACATCCAGCAGGAAATGATAGAATATGCATATTTATAGGTTCTCAAATTTTTTAATGAGGTAGAAGGAGTAGATTTTTAAGGATTTTAATGTGTAAATGATGTCTTTTTGGCAGAAAAAAACATGTCAGACACACATTATTGGTCCGAGCAGACTATTTGTATATATGTTTTAATACATGTCTGGAGGGGATCTTTAATATTATTATTATGTCTAGTAAATCTAAGTACATAACCCAATAGATTATAATTTTTATCACGCCAATGCTTCCTTGGCCTGTTTCTCTCTTACTGCAGCATGGATTGATGGAAGCACTGACGCTAATAAACAGGGCAGGTTGGGTGCTGCTGTCCTTGCTCCAGTAAAAGCTTTCCCCCCAGTCACGTAGAGGGTCTCAATAGATTTCATGGTCCCAATAGAGGCACTTTATATCAGCATATAAAGAGGCAGACACACATGAAAACATACCCAAATTTAATTCCTTTTAATAACAAAAGAATCCTTTAAAAAAATGCACATGCCCACACACACACACACACACACACACACACACCTATATGTGCAAGTAGCAACACTAACAATCTGCACACACACAGAAACACACTTGTAAGCAATGACACGCAAACATGTTTTCTGACATAATTTCTGACACCTTCACGTGCAAGTAGTCGCTTGTTCACACTTGACACCTACATATGCACACAAATGGGCACAGTTAGTGAAAACACCTGCTCGTACAAGCTCTCTCGTGTTCACTGATACAGTGTGTACACAATTATTCTGATACTCGCACACACACACAGACAAACAAACAGCAACCCTCGTCTTAAATCCTGCCCACACAAATACACTCTTTCCCCTGGCCTTTCTGCATTATAGATGAACCTCCAGCCAACCAGTCCTATCGATCCACTCTCTCCCCACCTCCTCCCTGCCTCCCTCCATCCCTCCATCATCGGGTATCTCTCAACCGCCGTGTCACTCACGGCTCGTTCTCTCCTCTCCGTCTTGTCACGATGCCTCCTTGCCCTCCTCCTCCACCACCTCTCCCTGTCCTTTCCTATAACTCTACTCTATCTCTCCTCACACCTTTTTCCTCTAAAATCCCCATCCCTCCCCCTCTTCCTCTCGTTCTGCTTCTATCCCCCCCCCCTCCCTTCTCCCCCTGTTCCCCTGTCAGCTCATCACAGGAGTGGCTAGGAATAAGACTAGCCATTTAGTTTGATTGGCAGGTGGAACAGATAGGGGGCGGGGAAGGAGGAGGTGACTGTCATCACATGTACGTGCTTTTACAGGCAGCGAGGGAGTCGATAAATTATAGACAGGAGAAAAGCAAGGCGTGACCAGTGTGCCACGGTCAGGGGTTCAATTCCCATGGGGACCACCTATGCTAGAAATCTATTTATTTTTTATACAATTACACTCCCTGGATGAAAGCACCCATTAAATTATGTATGTTCTATGTAAGAAATAGTCTTGTTCTATCATAATAAATGTTTGTATGTAGTTCAAAATGGCCCTGATAGTGCAAGGGTTCAGGGTTTAGCTCCCACTGGGATCACCCATTCTAAAAATGTACTTAACTCATAGTACGCAGAGAGGTTTGGAATAAAAGCGTTTGCTGAGTGGCACAGGCTGGATGTAAAAAGAAAAAAACTGAGGCTATAAAGAAGAGAAGAGAGAAATTGTGAGATCGAGGCAAAAAAGATGACACGGGAAGGAGAGGTAGAGACGGAAGGAAAACAAACCGACAGGAGAGGGAGAGGTGGAGGAAAGCGGTGAAAAGCGTGGGTGGAGAGGAGACAGAAAGATTTGGTGACAAGCAGCGAATGACTAAGACAGAAAGAGGGAGAGCAAACAAGAGAAAACCAGTGTGTGTGTGTGTGTGTGTGTGTGTGTGTGTGTCGGGGGGGGGTGCTCAGCTATGTGCACCGCTGCTTGTGGATGAGCTAGTGTCCAATCAAATCAGATACAGGTTGCCCCCGCAGCTGTCAGTCAAAACCCAATCACCGCGACAACACCTTTCCTCCGACACACCCAGCCACTCGGATCCCTCTCCCCTCCTCAGGCTGCCCTCCCCAGTCACACTCAATGAACGTCACATTCCATTCTATGATACACACTTTTCTCTCCGTGGTCACATCCTGTCAGGTTCAAAAGAATAACTTACCGTATCAAATTCTATACTGTGTTTCCTTGACGCCCGGCGGCAAGAGCTTTCTAATAGAAGAGAAAGGAATTCGTGCTCTACATTCTATTATATTTCCCATCTATTCGATCAGCGCCGCCCCGGGAGTGCTTGCAATTGCATCACATTTCTGCGCTTTAAGTCATTTAACCAAGTTAAACTCCCTAAGACTGTTCACTTAACACATTTACAGCTAAAAAGCCTTGCATAATTTTGACCTATTAAGTGCAAGCTTCCTTATGTGTGCAAGGTCATGGCCACGGTTAGAAAACAGCAGGTGACATGTAACAGGATTACAGTAATCTGTAACCTGTGAGAGGTTAAGACCGGCCATATTCTACAGTATATTTCTATTTTTGTTAACAAACCCCATGCTGTTATAAATCCTCACTAGTGCACTGAATGTGGATTAATCCGCAGCTCAAAATAGTCCCCAACAAATGCTCTGTTCTCAAACTACCTCGTGTTTGAGTTACCTTTGCTAGTGTTCAGTGTTTTTAAACTGCAGTATATTGCAGAACTGTAGAGTTGGGTGATTAGTCATTCCCTCCATTGTTTCTGTAGAAAAAGTGTTTAGAGCATCTCTAATTGTGTCTATCACCTGTATGAACCAGTGGCCTTGGCCCTGAGTGCCACAGACGAGAAGACGGGAAGTGATGCATCCGTGACTGTACCGACCTTCCAACATTCAAATCTCTGACAAAAACTCAACTTTTTAAAATAGCTTTTAATGTTTAGCTTAGTCTGATGTGTTTTTAGTGTTTTACTATTTGATGTTGTTTTGCTGCTTTTACGTTTTTATTTAAAGTGACTTTGAGAATTTAGAAAAGCGCTTATAAATAAAATGTATTATTATTATTATTATTATAAAGTAATGAGAGCTGGACTAATGTATTGTTGATCTTCTCGGAGTAACATCAGACTGTAAACTGTAAAAACACTGATCAGATGATAGATACTTTTAGCAGAAATAAGTTTTGGATTACAAAGTTTTTATACATTAACATAATTTAGCAATTCTTATATTAATAATTTAGCAGAAACACCCAATAGCTAATTCTTTAAGGTGATAATGATTATAGATACGAGTGGGAGGAATATGCAGCACCAAAGTACCCATAATTGCAATAAAGTATGTCTTCAAGCATATCATGGCTTTTGTGTAGTGTTTACTAATCCATGCATGCTAATTGAAAAGTTTCCACTTAAGCTGAGCTCATAGCTCAAGACTAAAACACAAATTCTAGACATGCATGATGGGAATTATTGGTGCGGTTGGACCAATCAGCTTTCTGCACTTAAACTACCTGCTATAAAACAGAGATTGACTTTGAGCATTATGTTTAATAACACTACAGGAGTTACAGCCTGCAAATGTGAAGTTAATTGTTCAGTTAATTGCATATTGTCTAGCATTTGGAGGCGGTGTGATACAACAGCTGATTACATTTTACTGCAGGTAACCAGACGATGTAGCCAAACATGGTCAGGGCATGCTTTTTTCCCCAACGCTTTATGGTTAAATATTCATTTTTAATTCGCCTCGGAGCAGCTGACTGAACACTAGAGCTCTTTTTTGCGTTGTTAGGTTTTCTATTCCTCAAATGACACACATTCAAAACTTTGAGCTTCCTAGTAAGTCCTCTTTTGTCCCATGTGTTTGCACAGCAGCAGGTGTCAAGGGAGCAGACGATGTTTCTCGTTAGCTTTCAGTCAGTTCAGAGGATTTTGCCCTGCAGCAGGAACAACAGATAGAGCTGTTGTAGGTTTTGCCAGCTAGATTTTTAAAATATTGGTTCGATGGAACTCGGTCTGAGAGATGCTTTGTTGCCTGCGTTTAACAGTTGTACTGTACAACCACAAATAGCCACCCGGCGTCTATCATGAAGTTATGTATTGCGCCTTTAGGTGTCGCTGAGGGTTCTTCCACATTTCGAAGAGCGATTAATCAGTCCAACCCATTCAGGTCTGTCCCCGATTCAGGCTCCCCGTCATTGTAATTACTGTACAGTGCTTAAGGACTTGCACATTTACATAATTGATTCTTTTATCAAGGCACGTCTCGCTATCTCTCTCATACACAATCTGTTATGCAGAATGGATTTTTAAACGCAGGCTGATTTGAAATGCTGATCTTTGTTCTGTTGTCTTCTTCTCCCCCCCCATCTCTTTTAATCTCCTTTCTTCTTCCAGCCACAACACTCTTCTTTCCATCATTTCTTTTTTCACTTTTACTGTTCGCCATTACAACTCTCGCTTCTCTCCCTCGGTTCATTTTACGGTGCCTCCTTCTCCCCCAGTCCCTTTTTTGTTTTCTTACGGTAACGTCCATCTCTTTCTCTCACTTGCTCTCCTGTCCTGCATTTATCTTTTCTTTTTCCACCTTTATTCAGCCCCCCTCCCAGGCTCCTCTCTCCTCTAACCATTCCTTCTCTCTCCCTTTCCATCTCTACTTCACCCTTGATCATTTCATCTTTTTTCTTTCTCTTGCAGCACTCGTCACAGCACTCTTCTCCCCTCATCACTTCGACCCTCTTTTCATTTTTGCTTTTAGCTACTCTACTGTTTTTTTGAAAAATGTGCAGAGTATGTACAGGTTCAACTCAGGACTCTCCTTCTGTCTGTGTCTCTCCCTGTCTCTCTCCTGTCTCAGGCCCACCTCCTACAGTTGGCAGAAGAAGGATGGAGAGCTCCCCCCACTGGCCAAAGTCGACGGTGCTTTCTTGCACTTTGAGATGCTCAACAAATCAGATAATGGCGTCTACCTCTGCCACGCTGACAATGTCATTGGAAGTAGCCAGGCAGAGTACACACTCCTGGTGCAAGGTAACAAGACAAAGTGAAAAGAGGGAAGAAAAACAGTCAGAAAGGGGGATGTGTGGTGGGGAAGGGAGGGACAAATCTAGAGAAAGAGTTGGGATGTCTTCTTCTTTTACGTTTCTTCATCACGTTTTTTTATTTCTGTCGTTCTGCTTGTACTTCCATCTTTTTTCTCTTCTGATTTTCTTTCGTTTCTTTCCTCCTGTTTTTGTTTGTTGTTTTTTTTCTTTTCTCATCCAACCGCGCCACCATAACCACCACCGCCTGCCATCCAACCGCTTGCGTTCATTCTTGCGCTTCTTTCCCTTCGCTTTTATGTGTCCCATTCGTTCGATCAATGGCCATTTTTGCGCTTTGCTTGCTCATTCCCACTCCCTCTATGCCTCATCTTCCTCCTCCTCCTCCTCCTCCTCCTCCTCCTCCTCCTCCTCCTCCCAAGATCCCATGGACCCAGACTCCCTGGAAACCACCAACCCCTCCCATGGCTCTTCAGCCTACCCATCTTCAACCTCTTCCTCCTCTTCCTTACCCCTCCCATCCTCTTCTCCTCCTGATGCCTTCTCTGGCTCCGGCTCTGACCTCACAGACTCCTCCTCCTCCTCCTCTCCTTCTGACCTCGTCTCGATCTCCTCTCCTGACCCTTCTCCCACCCCCTCCATGGCTGACGTTTCCTCCACCAACACCCTCTCCAACGCCCTCTTCCCTGACCTGCCATTCTCTCCTGACTCCTCTCCCTCTACCTCACCTACCCCTCCTCCTGGCTCCGCAAGCATCGCTCCTTCCACTGCCACCCACTCCTCCCACCCCTCCACCCTTACTCCCTCAGTTTCCGTCCGGCTGAATGGAGTTTACACTTTCACAGGTAAAACCATCTGAGTTACACACTTGCACACACACTTGCAAACAAACGAGATGCGAGGAGCTTAGTAATGGAGTGGAAAAACAAACACCATTCAAGTTACTACTTTGCTATTTTTTTCTTCAATACACAAACTGTGCTTGCATTGTGGAGCAGTCAAAGACGCTGGGAGTTTGTTTTACATGTACACACACACACACACACACACACACACACACATTCAGAGCTGACAGCAAGAGCGCACTTGAAGCAACGCACAATGAAGAAAAAATGGCATTCGTGTGGCCTTGTCACAGCTGTTTGATGTTTTTTTTTCTTGTTTCCCTCTTTCTTCCTGTAAATAATCCCTAACCCTGACCCCTAAACCCCCACAACACACACTCTTCAACTCATCCATCCATCCATCCATCCATCCATCCATCCATCTAAACATCCAACAATCCATCTATTCATCCACTTGAGAAGAAGCTGCAGACAACATTGCAGGTATAACTTTTTCACCAGTCACCTGTCGTTCTGACTTTCTGTCGTTCTAACTTTTTCGTCCACCTGCCTGTCTGTCTGTCCATCTGTAGGTCTTACTGTCTGTAGATCTGTCTGTTTTGGTCTGTCTGTCACTCAGGAAAAAAATAGTCTGGGGACACTTTGAACTTTGAAAGCAGAGGGATGAATATTTCATACTCCTGCCCACGTAATGCTTTCTTGTTGCTCATACATGCACAGACAGGCTCAAAACACAAGCTCTCTCTTTCTTACACACACATACACACACACACACACACACACACATGCACGCACACACACACGGAGCACACGTTCACCTCAGCACCATTCACACCAGGCACTCACATCTATCTCACGACGACACACACACTAGCATGACCTCTTAAGTGGTACAAGTCATTTACACAGTGTTCCACTTCCTCTGTGTGTGTTTCTCTATGTGTGTGTAGGTGTGTGTTTCAGTGTGTGTGAGTGCTGGGGAGGGGGAGGGGGGGTCAGGCTTCGAGGTGTTCTTGGGTCTTGTCTGCTTTCCTTTGATGCTGACAGCAGGATTTATGGGCTCATTCTCAGTCTCGCCTCGTCAGCATGCCCCTCTCACCTCCACGCCGGCCAGCCGGAGTGTGTGTTCGACTTTCTGTGTGTGTGTGTGTGTGTGTGTGTGTGTGTGTGTGTGTGTGTGTGTGTGTCATTCTGACTGCTGTTCAGAGTCTACCCTCCCCACCACCCTTCTCCCCCTCTTCTCGTTGTTCTCTGTCTACGCCTGGCCTCTGGTTGGCTGTTGTCATGCCCCTTCACTTCTCTAACTGGCTGAAAATGTGACTTTTTCCTCCAAACATTAGACGTCCAACCCATCATCTGGTGCCCCAGCTGGTTGTGTTCCTTCCTTCCTCCTTCAGTTTTAGTTTTGTCTACATTTCTGGTTGTCAGTGGCTGTTGCTGTGCCTCTATCTCTCGTTTCTGTGCCTCTATCTCTCGTTCCTGTTCTCTGATTGGGTGTAAAAACTAGCTGTTTCTTCCTCTGACTGGTTGAATCCCTGCCCTCCATATTGGTTTTTACCCTTCAAATATTCAACAAGTGCAAGCCAGTCTCTCTTTCCAACTCCCTTTACTTTTCATTCCCCCATTATCTGTTTTTTAGTATTTTCTACGCTTTTGGGTATGAGAAGTGCTGCTTTTGACTTGTACCTGTATGAGTGACTTTAAAATTGACACCCAGCGTTTGATCCGATCTGAAAAGTCAGGCGAAATAAATGATGTATCAGATTATTTCCACGTAGATTGCTTTTTTCTCTGAGGGGCAAGTAGCTAAATTGGGTGAAGCGAGGGGAACTGGGAGGAAAACATTTCAAATCTTTGCTGTTGGGTGAAAAACTTGAAAAAACTACCAGATTTTCAGAGATGAGGCACTGTTCTGATTTAAATCTATTTTCATACTTCTAATGCATCAAGTAGACATAAAAATTACCTACAATATCTATAATTTATATATTTGTATATCTTAAGTACAGCCTTTAATATATTAACTATAACTTAAGTAGATTCATTACACTGACTGTTCTAAGTATACTAAGATGTTATTAGAAATAAAAAATAGACTCTAGACTTTATTAATTTGGAGGCTTAATTCAAATATATTTTAAGTAAGTGAATGTGCCTCTGATATTTAAAGTATAGTTTTGGTAGCCAAATGTGCCTCAAAATATGGTTCACATATACAGTATATTTAAACGTATCATGAACCTTTAATATTCGAAGTACAGATTCACTGGTCTCAATGAAACACAACAACATTTTTTTTAAATAAATTAAAAGTATATTAAAGTGTATGAAATATTCCTTTGGAAGAGGTACCTGAGTACACATTCTTTATAATTAGAGATTCAGCCATGTTGAATTAAACTAGCAGATAATTTTAAATTTGTATTTAATCAAATTATCACAAAAACCCTCATTCCCCTGTTTTAAATCCAGCCTTGGATTCTTCAAGACAGAGTTTTTAAAGTTTTTCAATCCATAGCAGAGCATCAAACCCTTCAGTTAAAGTGAAAATATGGAAATCACCACAGCTGAAGGGGCAAGGATTTCACCTGACATCAGAAGTGTGTGATCCCACAAAGTTCTTACAAGTGATTGGGACTTGGGTCTGTAAACTGCACAATCCTGTTGCATGTTAGTCACGAACAATTTTTAATGGAGGCCCCTTTTCTTTCGCCTGGCTTTTTTTTTGTCATATCCTTGTCTTTGTCTTCTGAAGGTTTGCTACTGTGCCTGGGTATTATATATTGACAAGTCCTCTCTGCTCCCTTGTTCTTTTCTTTCTGCCTTCTCTCTGTCACTCTCCCCATTATTCTCTCTCTCTCTTTCTGCTGCCTTTCATCATCTGCCACCCTCTCCTTCCTCTCGGCTCTCAATCTCTGTCTCTCTTTCCCGGTCTCCCCTTATTTCTCACTGTCTCTGCCTCATTTTCTGTTGATCTTTGTCTCTTTCTTTCTCATCAATTCTCTCCTTCCCTCTCTCTCATTATGACTCCCGTTTTCTTACTTTACTTCACGACTTCCTTTTCTCCTTGCTCCTTCCTCTCCTCTCCTCTCCTCTCCTCTCCTCTCCTCTCCTCTCGTCTCCTCTCCATCCTACCCCCTTGTTCTTAAGACCCCACAGCCATGTCAACCTCTTCGGGGGTGGACCATGCCGTGATCGGAGGGGTGGTGGCTGTTATCGTCTTCATCCTGCTCTGCCTCCTCATCGTCCTCGGCAGATACCTCATCAGACACAAAGGTCAACTCCTCACACACCCACACAGACACGCAAACACGCACAGACAGACTCATGCATGCATGCATGAGTGTACACCGAGATACACTTGCATAAATATGGATACATGCGTACCAAGACAGGATCTTACACGTACAAACATGCATATGCATACAAATGCAGGGGCACACAGTAATGCACTCATACCTAAATATGGATTCTAAGCATAAACCTGACTTATTTTACTCTGAAAGCAGAATAAGAAAATTAATGAATGTCAATAAGTGAATGTTTATTCATTGCTCTTTAATACATTTTGGTTCACACAACTTCCTGTGAGATTAGATTTCCTGACGTCAGCGATGTTTCAGCCGCATATTTTCAATTATATGGTCAAATATGGGATTTAAAGTGAGTGTGGTAGAAACGTAATTGCTTCCTGGCCATGATGTTAGTTTGTTATTCTGTTGCTCATGTGCTCTGAGAGTGGGAGACAACAAAATACTGTTACTTATTCTTTGTTTTCACTCATATTCAGGTCTCAAAAAAAAAACTTTTTTTAGCACGTAAACAAACAAGAATAAAGCAAATTCAAATATCTCAGCTCCAGCAGGGGACAGGTGAAATTTAAAGGGTAATAAAGACATGTTTCCACACCCAGGCACAGTTGATAAGAACTTGCCCCCCCCACCACCACCGCCACCACAGTGTGCCAGATTCAACCTCCAGCTGGTCTACAATATTGAACAGAATATTCTTGGTGGCCTATGTTCACAGATGCCAGGTCTGTGAGAGATGTCTGTGTCACTGCATTAGTGACTCCCTCTGGTTGGTTAAGGCACCTGTGCAGGGAAGAGTTGTATCTGGAGGTGATAGTGTGAAGCTCCTCGTTGTCGGTTGACTGCATGTGTTTGAGTCTGCGGGCCAGCAGATAAGTGAGCACATGATGTGATTTCCTGTCATTTAATTGCCATTATGTGAGAGTAAACGCAGAGAGTTCTCACTAATGATGCACAAAAGCAACCGATGATAATGTGTGCTACGGTCTTAAATCAAGTTCCACTTGCCAGCTTTTTCCAGCACTTTCAATGACATCTCACAGGTCCTAACAGGTGGTCATGGTGTGTTCAAAGATGGTCTCTGGTGTCAGACGTGGAAGTCCTCCTTGATCTTTCTCCAGCTGTCCACTAATTTTTGGTCAATGACTTCTACCCCTTCCCAGTCGATGCTGTGACCGTTTTCCTGTTGTTCATTCAGTCTCTCGTCCAGGGTCCTTGCTGTTTTACCAATGTTGTGTTGCCCACAGTTGTAGCATGTTCCCATGTTGTATACGACCGTCGGTTATCACATGACACAATTTTCCATACATGACGACAACTGAGTCAACTCCATGACAGCTCTGATGATAAAGACCATGACATGGGGCTTAAAGCTCCAGAAAAAGCTTGTGGACCTTGACTTCATTATTTGGTCAAACTGCTATTCCCAAAGTTGAGAGTGCACTTTCACACTCACTTTAAAAGTAAGAGATGATCATTATGAGTAAAACTATGAAAGTGAAGTTGAGTCATGAAGTTGCTCTTTGGATCTCAGCAAGAGAATGAAAAACAGGGGTCAGGATTTTACTTGGATGATGGCTTTATGGATCCCTGTTGGTTTGGAGGTCAAAAGCCATCTCGACATCTTGGAGAAAAGAAAAAGCCTTTTAGACGTCTAGGTTACATATAACCTCTGTTTGAACTGTTATTATTATTATACTATACTATGCAGTGTATATTTCATTGGGAAGAAGGTTCTAACTAAACATTAAAATATAGTAATTAAAATGCAGTTAAAACAATGGTTATATGTAATAGATGTCCAAGAACTTTCACTTCACAAATGAGTTCATCCCAGTTTTTAACCTAGACGTCTAGACTTGCTCACCAGGGGATTTTGGGTAAAAAAAACAACATTTGACTCAAACTGACCTTTTCCCTCCGTTCTGACCCATCATAACAGAAAACATCCACATACAAATTCTCCAAAGAAAAACACATTTTTATCAGCTGTTGTCAGGACTCTGTGCCTCCTAGCGTCCCCTACAACCTAAAGAAAACTTTACTTCATAGTAATTCAGCAAAAAAGCAGCAAAAACACCTGGAGTGATAATTTAGACATCATTTTGGAACATCTTGCCACTCCACTGTTTATAACAGAGTCTGTCCTCCTGGCCTTTAGCCATTTTACAGTTCCAGTGTTTGACTTTTACTGCCTCGGCAATCTTATTCCCCCTCCCCCTTTTTTTCTTTATCTCCCTCTTACAGTTTGTTCCTCTTTTTCTCGCCCTCCTTTCACAGGAACGTATCTGACCCACGAGGCCAAGGGCTCGGACGACGCCCCCGACGCCGACACAGCCATCATCAACGCAGAGGGAGGCCACTCCGGAGCAGAAGACAAGAAGGAGTACTTCATCTAGATAGAGGACGGAGTAGAGGAGGAGGAAAAGATGGAGGACGTGGATTAGAGGAGAGGGGAGGAGCGAAGAGAAAAAAACCTCCATTTGTTTTCACGACGCTTCAGTTCTTCACTCAGTTGGAGGGATGATGGGAGGGGAAGGGAGGGAAAGAACTGTGGGCAGGATCAACTGGTACTACCCTCTTTGCATTGATACAGGGAAGTGAGATTTTGCACTGACATTCGGATGAACTGAAGTTACACACTCAGACACACACACACACACACACACACACACACACACACACACACACACACACACACACACACAAATGTACATGAGTCAGTTTTATGGGAAAACTCTTCTCACACAGACTTGAATGCTCGTAGATGCTCAGATTAACAAACACGAGCCTTCTACTAACACGTCTCAATTATTTCTGAATGACCCATTAACACATTTTGACACAAGCATCGTATTCCTATTCCTGACTGTCATCGCCTCGAAAAACAAAATTGTAACTCACATTCCGGGTATCCCGAGCTGATACTTCACTTCTCACACCACGCCAACCCGTCTCTTCAACATTTAAACCAAACCAGCTCTTGTCTTTTCACGTTTGTGTCCTCATTCTCTCCATCTAACAAGGCAGTATCCCTCTGTAAACATCCGAGTGGCAGAGAAATCCATCCAAAGCAAATTATGACTGACAAACATAATCTCCCTCTCTCACAGTTTAATCTTTTTATGCCATCAAACCTCTTCCTGCGTCCTCACAAACCCTGGTACGAGCCGATGAATTTCCCACAATGCAGCACCACACAACATGCAACACTCATGCAAAAATAGCATTCCCACCTTGCGCTACCAAGCCGAGGGGCTCCAGTATACATATATAAATATATATATATATATAGAATTATATAGCATTCTTTTTACTTGACAGAAAATGTTTGGTGTGCTGTAAATACACACTCTTTCTCTTTCTCTCTCTCTCTCTGTCTCTCTCTCTCTCTATCTTCTATCTCTCCTTCTTCTATGCCTCTTCTCTCTCTCTCTCTCTCTCTCTTCCTCTCTCTCTCTCTCTCTACATCTCCCTCTCTTCTGTATCTCATACAGTCTGTTACTGCATTACAGTAACTTATATACTCTAAAAAAAAAAAAAGCCTGCCTGTTTTTATTACATGCGTGGAAATGCAGAGTCGAACACTATCAATATCTGGGGAAAAAATATAAAAATAACGATGATGACGTTGCGATGAAAACTAACCTTAACTGCAAATATTTGTATGAGGAACGTTTTCCTTCCTTTTTTTTTTTTTCTTCTTTTTTCTTTTTGGTTTTTGGGACTTATGAGAGATTTTCTCTCCTCAGTGTCTCAGTGTGTTACTGTCAGTGTTAACAGTTTACAGTGTCTGTCCGTTTGTCAGTCCAGGAGTCCATGAATCTAATTTCCGACTTGTATTTTAATTTTGAGGTTTAGGGTTTTTGATGCTGTTTGTTTATTTGCATCTTCCTCTGCGCATTCAATGCCGCCATTTTCTCCCTGTTTCGTCGGCCCTCTGTGACCCAAACACTAAACTGTAGCAAAACCTCGGTCGAACACAGCTTCGAAAGGTGTCAAAAGTGTTTGTTGGAATTTTCCCGGAGAATCACTGCCCGGCACACGTGGTCCGCTTTGGTCCTCCTTCCACCCGGCCCCCGCAGAACGCAACGCTCAGCTCCTAACATTTTTCTCCCTGCAGCAGACTGCTTGTCTTGGCGAGGCCACCTGGCGTTAAATTCACTGAGCAGTGATATCATGACTTCCTCTAAGAAGCTGGCACGGTCGCTGCTTCAGGGAGGTGAAAATGCTTGCTTGCTTTCCACTACGGGGCCAAACAGGACTGCCTACATACATTATGACAAACTTCCTGGCGAAAAAAACCCCTTTGTGTTATTGTTTCTTTTTCTGTGTGTGTGTTATTGCAAGCAGGAATCATTTGTCAGCTTAGCAAAAGGTTCCCATAAATGAACGGTGTTTTATTAAGGTTGGGAGTTCGCCTTGGCACTGGCAAGCTCCACTTGGCCCGGTCTTGGAAATTGATTGCAATCTAACTAAGAGGCTCTGGGCTCCAGACTGTACACATGCCAAGGTTTGGCTTGGTGGGCAAGGTGCCGAGCCGGAGTCTGGGCAGCACTAACACTGAAGAAAGTCATTTAGGAACTTAAATGTCCTCTCTCCCCCCTCCCCCCTCCCCCCACCGCTCCGCTCGTCCATTTCCTTTTCATTCTTTAATCAATCATCCCGTCTGCGTCCTGATCCACCTTCACCCAGTCTCTCCTCTGCTCTCCTCATCACATCTTCCTCCCCCCCCCCCCCCCCACTCCATCTCTAATCGATGTCCGATTCTCCTTGCTGGTCTCTCTCATTAAGGAGGCCATGTGTAAACGTACAGTAGAAGTAGCGCCTCCTCTTGGTTTGCTGGCGTGCGCTGATGGCTCTCTGCAGCACTTTTCTTTTCTTTTTCTTTTTCTTTTTTTGTTTGAGAGTGTTTTGGAGAAGAATCCATTTGCTGTTGTTAGTCTACCCGTAGACAGTTATGTCTGTGATAGTTTTTGTACACCCTTTTTTGGGAACGTTCAGGGATAGTGCTTTTCGTACCTTTCCCCGCATTGTCGTTAACTGCTAACTAGCTAGCTGCTTTGAAAGCAAGTGGCCAGGCTAGTGTGTCTATAAGCTAGCTATACTACAAAATGGTAACGTGACCTGAAGCAGGGTCAGCTGTTCTATTCCTTTTTCTTTCTAGAGTTCTCGGTTGGAATTTGGGGTTGCTGAGTTGAGGAAACTTGGCCTAGAACGGTGTTTGAATTCTGCAGGAGACTGTTTGGACGTGCACCAGACAGCTTTTAAACAAACCGAGATGAATTTTTCAAAGAATTCAGAACGCTGTTTAACCCACGTTTGCTCTGCAACACTCTTCAGCTTTTCACAGTCTTCATGTCTGCAGACCAGAGGACGGGCGTTGTCTCACAGAGTTTATTGTCCTACTTTGAAGAGTAAACTTTGATTTGTATTTAACCCCAATCTAATTCTGCTCTGTGAATGGAGAAATGAATACCTGCCTCATACTCAACAAAGTGTAGTGTCTTTTAAAAACTAATGGACCTGTATTTGCCTGTAATTTATCGTCCTGTCCTTCGTCTTAGTTAATGTGCTAGCATGTAGCTTGCATGAGAAACGGTTGGAAATGTAGATAGTGTTGGAGATGAGCAGTGCCGACAAGCTGCTCTCCTGAGACAAGAGCGGCGGTCTGCCCGACTGCCCTCCCTGCTGTTCTCTGATCTGCAAACATAACCCGTGTCCCAGTTAAAGCCGTCTGTACCTTCTCAACACTGCAGCCCTCAGATTAACACTGAGAAAACTGACGAAGTAGGCCTCATTCTGCTTCTCCCAACAAGCGATGTAGGGGTATAATGGCGCTGGAATGGGACACGCAGTCAGTCTAATTCATATTTCATTGCATCAGTGCAGTAATGACTAGCTGTCACCAGATGCCAGCAAACAGCAGCTTTTATTTTCCCTCTTCAGTCAGACCGAGCTGTCCTGCCCCACCACTTGACTCTCACCAACTCCTCTTCAGGCAGTCGCACACTAGCTGCCAGTCATCTTTTCTTTTTGTAGTATAAACAAATTGATTTTTAAATTATGTTTTGTAAAAGGTGTGCATAATCTTAAATGTATTACTTTCAGTTCAATTGATCATAATTTCAACCTCTTTTTTTTATATTAGATTTTCCAAAACTTGAAGGTTAGAGATTTGGTTTTTTTGCGTATTTTATTGTTTCAACAAGTTTTATATAATTTCATGTATATAGTGTTGCCTTTACTGGATACTCTTACAAGCGCACCCATACACACGTTGCACACACACTTTTGGTACATACACATCCACACACATATCTGGATATGCACGGCAGGCATGATGTCTGTGACTATGGTGTATTTGTACATATGTGTGTGTATGTGTGTTTGTGTATGAGTGTGAGGTGTGTATTAATTGACCCAAACAGACTCCGGAGACATGCTTACATGTGTTGCATTCACAAAAATGTTATTATTTCGATGACTAAAAAAAACCATCTTTGTTTTCAGGATCATTATTTTGGATGACAAGTCTTCCTTTTGAATAAATATCCATATCACATGAGAATAGTGCTGTCATGTATGTTAATTTGTACTATGGCTGATGATGTCATTGAGGCGAGACCCGACCGCATGCTGTGGTGGGTGTGGGTCTGTTGGCTGTTATGTTCATACAGTATTTGTTTGATTTGTTTTTTTTTTTGTTAAAATACCAGTTCAGTTGTTGACTTCAATAAACATGCATTTGGGTTAATTTCA